TTTTTTTTTTTTTTTTTTTTTTTTTTTTTTTTTTTTTTTTTTTTTTTTTTTTTTTTTTTTTTTTTGCTAGCGTGAGATTTATTGCTTTTACTTTTTCCCACATGTCCATCATCAAGGATTTTCTAGAAAGACCCCGTCAGCACTGGGGAGCGAAGTCATTGAGTTTGCATTATCCTTTAAATTCCTACCCAGCTTAAGGTCCCAAAATTTATTGACAACATTCCACGCTTGCTTTGATCGTGGCTTTTTTTGCTATGAGAGAGAATGTACAATAGTGGATACCTCAGGGCTAGCAGGGTGTTTTCATTCCATGGGTCGGTCCAAAATGATGTGCTTCCTCCATCACCGGTGTGGCAAGTTCAGTTGGTGATTAGGTTTTGATGTTTTTTTTATGTACTTACAAGGCCCTTTTGTAGAAGATGGAGGGGGTTGATTTTTGCTTGATGTTTTTTTTCTTTCTCCACAAGGCAGATGATATCTCTATACCCATTTGGCAATGAGAGTTTTGTTCTTGTTCTTTATCAAGAAAAGACCAAGGCCTCCCTTTTTTGTTGGGAGGTTTATAATATTTCATCGAACAAGGTGTGGGACATCTTTCCACAAGTAGTCTCTGAATAATATTTCTATATTTGCGGCCACTTTTTGTGGTATTTCAAATAGAGACATGTAGTAAGTGATTTTTGTTCTTGTTCCTTATCAAGAAAAGACCAAGGCCTCCCTTTTTTGTTGGGAGGTTTATAATATTTCATCGAACAAGGTGTGGGACATCTTTTCACAAGTAGTTTATGAATAATATTTCTATATTTGCGGCCACTTTTTGTGGTATTTCAAATAGAGACATGTAGTAAGTGAGTTTTGTTCTTGTTTTTTATCAAGAAAAGACCAAGGCCTCCCTTTTTTGTTGGGAGGTTTATAATATTTCATCGAACAAGGTGTGGGACATCTTTCCACAAGTAGTTTCTGAATAATCTTTTTATATTTGCGGCCACTTTCTGTAGTATTTCAAATAGAGACATGTAGTAAGTGGGGGAGGTTGGATAATGTAGCTTGTATTAGGGTGAGTTTTCCGCCTTTTGAAGTATAACATGATGACCATGTTGACAACCTTCTTTCTATTTTTTCAATAATAATCTTCTAGAAGGAAAAATATTTGTGGTTTCCTTTTAGAGGTAGTCCTAGGTACATATTCATTCTCCCTTTTTACAACTAAATATGCTAGCAAGTTATTCAATAATCTCTATGTTAATGTTGATACTCATGATCTCTAGTTTTTTTAGATTGATATTTTGTCCAGAGAATCTTTCGAAGGTTTTGATCGTCTCCATCATGTTTTTTATGGAAGAGGCATCTGCCAAGTTAGAAAAGAGGATTGTGTCGTCCGCGAACTGAAGGTGGTTGATGCTTAAGCCTTAATTACCAATCGAAAAACCTTTTATCTGTCTTTGTGCCCTTCGTATTCTACTTTTGTCAGTAGGCGACTGAAACAGCTCATTGCCATGATGAAAAGAAAAGGGGATAGTGAATCTCCGTCTAAGACCCCGTGTGGCATAGATCTCCCCTCTCAGTCTTCCATTGATGATGATTTAGAAGTTTGTGGATGAGATGCATCCTTTTATCCACTAGCCTTTTGACACAAGAATGTTTTTGAGGAAAGTTCAATCAACCTTGTCGAAGACCTTTTCCATGTCAAGTTTAATGACTGCACCTTTTTGTTTCTTTCTTTCCCATTTATAGCTATGAGTTCACTTGCCATGAGGGATGCATCGAGAATTTGTCGCCCCTATACAAAAGTTGTTTGTTGCCCAGTTATTGTGAAGGGGAGAACCTTTTTAAGACGTTTTGATAATACGCTTGCTATGATTTTATATAGTTCGGTCGTGCGAACATCCAGTTTCTTTGAGATCAAACTTTTTTTCGAAATTTTTTTTGGAATACTCTTATGATATCAGCTCTCATTAAGTTCCAGCATTTTTTGAAAAATTTTGAGGTAAAACCATCCGGTCTTGGAGTTTTGTCGGAGACCAGATGCTGAATCACCTTCCCCACCTCTTCTTTGGTGAAAACAACCTCGAGGGAGGCAGATTGTTGTTGATCAATAGAACTCCAGTCAAGATCATGGGGAAATTTACAGAGGACATTGTCCTTTGAATATAAGGACGTGTAAAAGGACACAAATTCTGAGACACTTTCTTCTTTGTTTACTAAACTTCTACATTGTGTGGATAGAATTTCCACGATGGTACTCTTTCGTTTCTTTGTAGCCATGATATGATGGAAAATTTTGGAGTTTGTCACCTTCCTCTAACCATCATTTTTTACATTTGTCTCCAAGATTGCTCTTCCTTTGCTGCCAACAAAATAAGTTCTGCTTTCATGAGCTTTTCTGTGTGTTGAACTAGTGTGATGGAGTCGGTTTCCTCCCTCTCATCAAGGAAAGCAATTTCAGTTAGTAGTTGGTTTCTTTTTGTGGAAATACAACCGAAAGCCTTCTTGTTCCATTTTTTTCAAGACTTCTTTTAGTCTTTTAAGTTTGTTGATGAAATCGTTCCCCGACCATCCACGAAGGGGCGTATTCTTCCATCAATATTCTACCATTGGCAAAAATTTAAAATGGTTCAGCCACATATTCTCAAATTGGAAGGCCGAAGGCCCCATTTACAGCAGCCCATGGAAAGTAGAATGGGATAATGTTCAGATGTAGGTCTATTCAGTCTTTGAACATCGGCGTTACTGAATTTTCCAAGTAGGTCTTCCGTGGTTAGAAATCTATCGATGGCTATCAAGATGGGTGGAGGTCTGTTGTTTAACCATGTATAGAGTCTATTACTGTGGGGAAGGTCAATGAGTTCGACTTCTCTTATGAAATTATTGAAGTGTCTCATGCTCTGGTGACTTTTCTACTAGATTTTTCATGTGCCCATCGAGAGATATTGAAGTCACTCGCCAAAAGCCAATTCTCTGTACATAGGCATGATAGGTCCTGTAATTCCTGCCATAATAGATGTCTTTCTTGATATCTACATGGACCATAGACTCCTGTAATCCAAAATCTGTAATTATGAACCAGGGTAGTATGTGTGGTTAAGGTGTATAAGCCTTAGCCTTTGGTGACTTCTGAAATGATCAAAGTTGGGTCATTCCACATGATTAAGATCTCCCCATTGTGCTTAAGGCATCCAAAGCTGACCAACCAATATGTTTGGCACTCCTAAGGAATTTAACTATCCAACGATCAACATAATTCAATTTTGTTTCTTGAAGAATAACCATAGTGGGACTGTATTTGAGGAGAAAAGACTTAATTAGGCCTCTCTTTTGCCAATCTCCCAAGCCCTTAACATTCCAAGAGACCAAGAGATAATAATCATAAGAGGTATTGACCTCCCAATTGTGACTTGCTCGATTTCTCATAATTGATGTTTGGAAGGAGACCAGCAATCTCTCTATTCAATTTACTCAGTTTCTTGTCCGTAGTGGGCTTCTTTTTCCCAGATGGAATAGCCATGATGCACATGTGGTGTTCTTTTAGCCTTGGTGCTAGGATTTGGATGACCATTGTTGATGCGAGTGTCGTTGATTTTGGGGGGACCTCTTCTACCTCTTTTTCATTATGCTTTTCCTGAAAAGGAGTGTCAAGCTCTGTATCCGCAAGTGTGATCTCTAGCAACAGGTGAGAGATGTTGGCCTTATCTGCAGTGGGAGATGGAGTGGTGGAGAGGGGTAGGGGGCTAGATGCATATTCATCATCCGATTCTTGGTCAATGCCAATAGTGGAGAATTTTGTTCCTGGGACGAGGTAAGTTTTTTGGTTATTTATGATGATGGTACATTTTTCTGGTGAAGTTACTAATCTGGAAAACATAACACCCAACAACAAAACAGAGGACAAAAGCAAGATCCCTGATGGCGGTGAAACATAATACAAGGGCTGATGTGGATGGATGATGCAAGTGTGACAGTACGAAACGAAGGAAGTGTAGAGGTTGACACAGATAGCCAAGTCAGGCAGATCAGTCGATGGTTGTAGTCTTTGGTAGCAGCTACCAGTCTGTAGGGATCAGATGGCAACAGGCAGCTAGGGTTTTAATTTTGGCTCTGATATTATCTAAAAATATCAAGAGGAGAACAATTTCTTTCATATTCACTCCAAAAGAAAATGGTTTCTTGAGAAGAAGAAAACTCCATTACAGTTAAGGAAATAATCTAATTAATAATCACAAATTACTGCTAATATAATACCAAAAGATTGTTGTTTAATTAAGAGAAGGAAATAACCGACAATAATGAACATAAGCATTCTCAATTGTCTTAGTAATGTTTCCACTCAGCTTTTATATGCAAATCTTTTATGGAAAAGATAATCCCTTATCAATGCCAAAGTTCTTGGGAATCGGCAAAATTGTAAGTTCGGCGTTTTATATCTCAAGACTTAACATTTCTGGATATAAAATCTAACCTTTTTTTGTCTCCAATTCCAATTCTTTGGATGCCATAATTTTGACCACATTTTTTTGGTGGTGGCAGGGGGCTGTTCCTTGTAAAGGTTTCTCATGTTTTTTTTTTTTTGCACTGAGAAAGGGAATCGAGACTTCTGTTTGTTAATATATCTTAGAATGCACAAGTTCCAAATATTTCTCTTGGTGGTCTGTTGAAATGTCAGCATAAAAAACCTTAAAACTATTTGTTGCTGCCTGAAAGAAGACATATTTCTGAAATTTTAGCAGAAAATATGGCCTACCTTTCTGACTGCCTTTTATTTGACATTTTGGCTTCTTACTATTCTTCTCTGTGGTTAGGATCCTCATGGTCACATTCTGCGACCTGATCCTCAGTTACAGGAGTTTTCCCGTTTTCTATTGTGCTTATTTAGACAAATTGGATTTTGCGATCTTGAATAGCTACTTGGGCTTTGGGTTAGACCCTTACCATTTGTATTCTTCCATTGATTGGAATGGAAGTTCTTACTAATTTCCTGTTGAAGGAAAAGGCAAAATGCTCGAGATTCCAGTTAAATACATCCTTATATGTATCTATCATTCACATGTGCAGGTTTGGAAGAACGGTTGCTTGTTTCCACTATGCAGCAATTAATGTTAAGTCTGTTCATATCCCACCATCAATAATTGAGTTTCACCATAATAATCTGGAGTGGATTAATAAGGAAGCAAATGAGGTACAACAACCTCGAATTGAACTTCAATTGAACGCTAAAGCAACTGATTCTAAATTTTGAAAGACTAATCAGTGGTCTCTTCTAGTAGGTACATAACAGGGCTGAAGTTCTTTTTGCTGAAGTATGTAAAACTCTTCCTCTGATTCTGAAGCATGAATCTGGCACAGAGCAAGAAGATTTTGGGGTAAATGAATTGAATAATTACATTCAAGAACTAGAGCAAATCATTAATGTGGAGAAAGAAGATTTTGAGGTAGGTTTTTGAGTTGTGGTTTTATTTCTCTAATCATTTCGTTGTTTTGAAACTGACGATTATAACACATTATGCTCATCTTGTGAGGGCATATTATTTTTTGGTATCTGTTGAATCTTTATATTCATTCCTGTGCATTTATTGACTTGGATGCCCTTGGGGAAGAAAAGTATTTATGAACATGATTCCCTAATCCTATGCTGAATTTGAACACCTTATTTGAAATATAGAATTAAATAGTTTTATTTGACAAAGATGGTCGTTGTCTTAATTTTGTAGATAAACAAACAATTTTCCTATTATGGAATACGGATTATTATATGCAATGATGTTTCTAGGTTCTCATTTTCCATGGATTGTGAAACTTTCTTTGTGGGGAAGGAAGTTTTATGCTTTGGTTCTTTGATTTATGTAATCCAGTTATTATAGGTGCATTTTAATAAAGCATCTGGAGAGACGACAGTTGGCCAACCTACAGTTGATATTTTTGAGATCAATAAACTGCATATGCACGTCCTTTTTCTTTCATATATTTGGGTTCAGCGCTTAAGTTATGCAGTCACTTTGGGAAAGAAGCATTCCCCAGATAGTTCGAGCAATGACATCCCAACACTTGAGGAAAAGGGACTTGATTCAATGGAAGAGTTGGTGGAATTGACTCTGGCATTCGGACAAGATGATCTCTTTGGTGGTTTTGATAACGATTCTCTACCTTCAGAGTCAAAACATGATGTTGATCTTGACAGAGGAGGTAATTCAGGCCAAATGAACCGATTTTATGAAACTGAGAGGGAAAAGAATATTGATCTTGGTGGACAGGAGGATGATCTTTGTCTTTATCAAGTTAATTCTGAACCTCTAGATGTTGGAACTGCCCTGCGAAGGACAAATTCAGAGGGAGAATATTCAAGTATGACCGATTTATCTGGTACCCTTGTTGCAGTTTGGAAAGGTGCAATTCACCCCAATAGTATACTATTTGATGATAGGTATCCTCAGACTAACTCATCCATTCTGGAGCCATTGGCTGGACCTGATATGGAAAAGTGTACTGCCAACGGAGTAGAGATAACTCATCTTCTTTATTCCGCCTTAGTTTTAACAAGGGTTGATTCTGTTGAAACATGTACAAGTTTGACGTCGATGCCTTCTTCAGCGTATAGTTCAAAGATTTCATTGTTGAATATTCCAAAGCCTGACATTTCTGATTACGATCCTGCCTTAATTACATCATTTAGGGAGTTGGAAAGGCAAGGCCATCTTCGGCTTTTTATGCATGTTGGCTCCAGTGATACTGTTGTTCCTGTCTATGATGAGGAGCCTACTAGTATTATTGCATATTCATTGCTTATGCCAGAGTATCATGCTCAGATGTCTGAGCCAGAGAGAGTAATGGAAGCTTTGGATACTGCACGTTCTTTGCCTACTATTGGTTCTGTTAAAATGGGCTCAATTAAAACATGTGATGAAGAAGGTTCTGATGTCTACAGAACTCTTGGATCCAATGAAGAGACCATTTTATCCATGGCTAGAACCGAAAGTCTTCAGTTTGAGGATCTGCTTTTGTTCACCAAGGATTTGCATACAAGAGTTTGTTTTATAAATGAAACTCCTTTGGGACCGGTGAAATATACCATAACTTGCTACTTTGCTAAGCGGTTTGAGGCATTAAGAAAGAAGTGTTGCCCTTCGGAGTTGGATTATGTAAGGTCTCTTAGTCGTTGTAAGAGATGGGGAGCCCAAGGTGGCAAAAGCAACGTTTTCTTTGCAAAAACTTTAGATGAGCGATTTATTATCAAACAGGTGACAAAAATAGAGTTGGAATCGTTCATTCAGTTTGCACCAGCTTATTTTTTATATTTGTCTGAATCAATCCGCACAGGATGCCCAACTTGCTTGGCGAAGGTCGTGGGAATGTATCAGGTACAATGATTTTTTTTTTAACTCTCTTTGTTATCAAGAAAGTTTGAAAAATGATTTGAAATGACAGAAGTTGAAATACTAGGAATGATAATCTATGGCCTTTTTTTGGAAAAAAAAAATCATAATTTGTTTGAGGAAGCGAGATTTTTATTTAATTCTGTAATATTATTAACCATTTTAATCAAAAGAAAGAATTTCAAGTAAAAATAGGGTAGAAGTCATATTTGAAACTGAAATATTGTGCATAATTGTCTTCTTTTGTACCAAACATCTTAAAACTTTGTGCGTAATTATATTCTTCGGTTGGTTTTTGCTGTCTTGAAGGTGTTCACGAAACATCTAAAGGGAGGAAAAGAATTCAAGATTGACGTTTTAGTCATGGAGAATCTTCTGTTTGGGCATAATGTGACACGACTTTATGATCTAAAAGGATCTTCTCGATCGCGCTATAATTCAGACACGAGTGGAAAAAATAAAGTTCTTTTGGATCAGAACCTGATTGAATCTATGCCAACCTCTCCAATATTTTTGGGCGGCAAGGCAAAGCGGTTGTTAGAAAGAGCTGTTTGGAATGATACATCGTTTTTAGCTGTAAGTTTAATGTATCTTCTTATTGTCACTTGATTTTCAAAGTCTTGATGCTCTCAACTGGATTTTCTGGATTCAATTCGTGCCCTGGGTTCAAATCTATAAGAAGCTGCACATTCATTTCAAACATCTCTAGTGTTTTCTTGCTACTAAACATCGTGTACATGAATGAGCATCTCTATTTCAAGTCTAATATGATATCTAGTTGAACGAGGGTTATTTTTCTAGATATATACAGAATGTTATCACTGTGGTAGGCTTAGTGAAACTGAATTCAATTTAAATAACTACCGCATACTTGTAGAGATTGTCGGTATCACGGATCTGCATTTTAATTCCGAAACTATGGGTAGAATACTGAAGGCCATAGATTGAATTTAACACTTCATGTTCTTTGTACTTCTACTTTTTTTTCCTTGAGTTACTTTTAGGTGTTTTGGTTCACAGATATAGTTGGTACAGTGCAGGATTAAGAAATAAAGTCTATAACCATTTGATTTTTGGTTTTGTAAAGATTAAACTTATAAACACTACTTTCATCCGATCCGTGAGTTTATTTCTTTTGATTTCAAAAAAAAAAAACTAAAAACAAAATCGTTATCGAATGGAGGCCTGAATAATATAAATTAGATATATGAAATTCAACTGTACTATTTCGTAACAAACAGTGAGCCAAGCACTCCCTTACTTATCTTCCATTTTGGTGTGTCTGACTAATTTATTTTCTCAAATTTCTTCTGTAGTCAATTGATGTCATGGACTACTCACTCTTGGTTGGCTTGGATGAGGAAAAGCAAGAGCTGGTTGTGGGGATTATTGATTTTATGAGGCAATATACTTGGGATAAACATCTTGAAACTTGGGTGAAGAACTCAGGCATTCTAGGTGGGCCCAAGAACGCGGCTCCTACTGTGATCTCACCTCATCAATACAAGAAACGTTTCAGAAAAGCTATGACTACATATTTTCTCATGGTTCCAGATCAATGGCCCTCATCCACGGTCAGCCCTAGTGAGTCCCATCCTGATCTTTGTGACGAGAACTCAGAACCTGAAAATTCGTGGGATTGGTAAGTTTCCAAATATTTTTGCTATTATGCACAAAATTTTCTGCATTTTTTTAGTTATTTTCCAGCCTTTGGACAACTTCTTTTTATCTTAGATTTGAACCACTACTGATTCTTTTAAAAGGGCAAAGAGCTTTTCTCAATGATGTTATTTTCCTGACTTCCCCAGATACTACAAGGCACTATATATTGGAGTGCTTTGGCATGAATAAAAGCACTTTCCACTCAAAATTATTGTTTGGGTGTTAACTAGTATTTATAGTGAGTGGCTTGCTAAGGAGCACTTTAAAACAGTTTTTGAGAGTGATGAATGATTATACATACAAACATACAAGTATATCTGTCACTTCTTTAATAGCGTAACTGGATGAATGATGAGATTCTTGTTATCAAAATTTGATTACTAAGATGACTGTAATTTCAAAGCCATTATAATCTTAAGCTTTTATTTTATATGATGTTTGTTTTGTTTGTCTTCAGCAAACACTGTAGTGAACACAGTGATTGATGAGAAGAGAAAGCAGAGAGTATCATTTTGTGTAGCATTACTTGCTTGGGGACAACATGATGCAGTGAACAGAACCCAGTTGAGCCTATACAATGGAAGAACCCATGTTGAAAAGGGATTGCCAATCAATCTTTGACATCGACAGCAACTTCACATGGAAATTTGAGCCCGTGCTTCGGCCTCGACTAAACAAGGAGGAGAACTTAGCGCTTCTCCCTTATCGATCGAGTATCCTCTTCCTTTCGGTAAAAGCCGAGCCTGCTGCTGCACTAGAAGGCAAAAAAGGCTTTGTTCAGGGGAGGGAGGATAGCTCTTATTATTAACATGGCAAACTTTATTGTAGAAGCATGAGCCATGGCTTAACTTGAAGTCCTGCAAAGATTGCTGAGCCCCGTGCAGTCGCTTGCAAGGACCACGGCCACGCTAAACTACGACCCACACTACGTATCAGAAGGATTTCTCTTGTGAATTAATGTAAGAAACAAGCACAGTAAGTTATTCTTGGTACTTTTTTCTTGTTCACCCATCTTCCAACTTTTGGAGACCAGTTGAGAGCTTTGCTAGAAAGAGTTCTCTCCCTCTCAAAAAAAAAAAAAAAAAAAAAAAAAAAAAAAAAAAAAAAAAAAAAAAAAAAAAAAAAAAAAAAAAAAA